GGGGTATAAATACTTTCCGTACCCACTGTACACAGACAACAATTTTCTGGAGTTCTTACACAGACTATGGTATCACTACAGATATACTTTATTCTTTAATTCCTATGAATTTGTTTTACTTTATACACAGCTGCGTAGCAAAGGAAAAAAATTATTCATTACATCACTGCAAATACACACAGCGGTTTTGAGGCCTGCCCGTAGGATGGTGATATATAGTTCATTATAGCTGATATAAGAGTAGAAATGATTTTGTGTCACATGTCAAATCAGCAGCCACTGTAAGTTACTCTTTTGGACTTTGCTGATGCCTGGCTGCCTTTTTGTTCAGTGTTTTGTTTGTTGGTAATGCACAGCTTGGTTTAAAATCCACGTTCAAATCCTGAGTGAGTCAACATAGCATGATGGGAATAGGCTTTGTACTGTATTTGTAGCCAAGATTTTGTTTTAAGTAGATAAAAACAAGTAGGAAATTTTCTGGAAATATAATTTATTTTTGTGTACATCAGGCACATTATGATGATGATGAACCGGAGGTCATAGATTACTCATAATTCATTCATCACTTCATTATTTTTTAAATGCTATTGTAAGCAGACATGGCCCTCAAAACAGCATGCATCACAGGTGAAGATTGTGCTGTGTGGATTTTTAGGCTAAAAGGGAGAACAGGATAGTGTCCATGTGCAGTTTGATGGCAGATCTCACTGATAAATACATTTCTTGTGCCCACATCTGTACGTCAGTATTACATTTGAGGCAAATATAAAGACAGTTCAGTTAGTGTATCTGCACAACCCTGTTCAGAACAGCAGTCTGAGCCACATTGCACTTGGGATTGTTTTGCTTGTTTTGCTCCCCAAGCTAAAAGGTAAATACAGAACTAGTGCAGCTGCTACATTTACATGAAAAAAAGAAATGTTTCACAGGAAGAGGGATGAGACACACAGTAATAAAAAATTGCCAGTCATGAGGTAATGAGGATTTCCATTTCAACTGAAAAAATCATATTATATAATAAGGCAGCCTACTGGAGACTGGGCGGGCAAGATAAGCACAGTAGCTGCTTGCTCTTTAAAGTCCCTACAGTTAAACAGCCTTGTCAGCACCACTGAATGGGAGATGGCTTCTGTTTACTAGAATACTATACACACATATTTTAAGTATGTTTTCAGAGCTTCTAATACACACACTCTGCCTAATATAACTCTGATAGATGGAGCAATGATATGTTAAACATGGTGACAATGGTACAGAGACACTGCTTGTGTGGCAACACTTTAACTGTATTGCAAACTATACTTTCTTTGCTACAGTTTCTTCCTCTCAGACATAATAGACTTCATGAACTCATATATGCAGAGGATTGAGCACTCTGTTATCAGAACACTTTCATTTTGTTGCAGCTGTACAGCTTTTTTCAGTCTGTATGAATAAGGGTGAAACAGAGGGATGTGCAAAGATGATAGAAGAGGAGATTGCTGTTAAGAGATCCTTGCATTTTTCTTACTCCACAAGTTTTTTCCCCTGCATTGCCAATGTTATTGGCCTTTAGTAGGCATCTGAATTTTCCAAAGACATTTTATTAGTCTGAATTGTTCTTACAGGTTGAAGATGGTGAGTCATGTACAGGATTTCTTCTGTAATCCCCCAGAGTTTGCACCTGCAGATGAACTTGAGTCAAGCTTTTATATTCCCCTCTTATGTCTCCTTCTCTTGTCTCACATACTGTACTTTTTTTTTTTTTGCTTTACACCTGCAGACAGAAAAGCTGAAAGTTGCAGATGAAAGAACTGAGAATTTTTTTGTAGGCTCTTGCTGGTAGCTATAAATCATTAGATCATATAGGACAGCATAAAATATCTCAAAAGTCTGGGACGAAAATGCTCAAGTTAAATAAAATTCATATAATAATATCCTACTGTGAGTTACTCTTCAGCCTATGTTGTTTTACAAGTACTCCTTCATATAATGCATGACAACATTTGCACTGCAACCTTACTAGTTTCTTAGCATGGTGGAAGTATTTCTAGAAATGTGCTTGTTTTTTGTTGTGCATGATTATACAAAGTGAATGTTGCTCCTATGCGTACTACATGCCGCATGTAGAATATATTTAGAATATCATACTGGATTCACCCTTAATTTTGTTTGTTTAAAACCATATTAAACCAAACTCTTGCACCATTTTGTCAGTGGATGAAACTGAATATGCAGTTTTCTGAATATTAAGAGTCTGTAAGCTGTAATATGAACAATAAGAAAGTCCTTTGGGACATACACATGAATCCAGCGATGTGTTCTTTTGATTTAAATGTGCCCATTTGAGTCATAGAAAATAAGAACTGAACTGATTACTGTTGGCTGTCTCTGAGCTGCTCCGCTCCCTTCTATGTTTGTATGCAGGCGCCAACCCGTCAAGGCCCGGAGGCTTCCCTGGTGCTAACAGTCCAGGGCCTGTGGCTGACCTGTATGGCCCTAGCAGCCAGGATTCAGCTGTGGGAAACTACATCAGTGCTGCTAGCCCTCAGCCTGGCTCTGGGTTTGGTCCCAGCATCACAGTGAGTACACACATGCAGGCGTTCTATCATGTTTGACTTCACACAGAGCTCAGTTACCTCTTAGACACTAAGCCAATGCACACTTCCTCTGACTGTAATTTTCTGTAGGAAATTCACCACAATAGATTCATTATAAAGAGTGAGGTTGACAAATTTGTCAAAATAACCATAAGTATCCTGAATCCAAAACAACTATTCAGTACAGTCTAGGAGTTCATTTCATTTTTTTGCATCAATTCAGTCATTGAGTTCAGAGGTCTCATAAGCATTTTGTACATCAGGGTAAGCCACATCTTAACTCTGAAAGTTATCTGTGTCAAATGCAAATGTTAATTCCCTTTAGCTGTTTTCGAGATCACCTCAACCCTATGTCACCTTCCCAGAACAAATTTCCCATATTTTTAGAAACCCATCTGTCCCAGAGCTCGAGTTTGTTTCGTCACTAGGACAGTGTTTTGTCTCTCTCTGCGTCCTTGTCGAGGTTTAGTTAATCATCCAGGAACTGTTGCACTTTTCCTCTTACTGGCTGTCATGTCAAGTCATAAGTGTAAGACTATCAGGCCTAGTAGCAGTGATGGTAAGAAAGGGCCGTTCTTGGTACGACAGCGTCTGCGTTTGGTGTATGCACAACAACCTGTTCAGAATCCCTCCTCTTGTACACACTAATCACAAAGAAGACGCTACAAAAATGCTCTGAAGGCCTCAACCCTATGTTCTTGGCAAAGACAGTGGCACTTATGTAGGCTCATCTTTTACTGTAAAGACTCAGAGAGATCATCTTAAAGCCAGGAAATATGTCTTAGCTTACAAGAGTGATTCTGAGGAGGAAGCTTTAGCCAAGCTACAGACATGGTTATTCAACATGCAAATATGTTTAGAACCTTGTTGTAGTCTGGCTATTTGTTTGCCTTTCTTGTGTGTTAGCCTTCTGTGGACCTCACCAGATAATTAATCTAAAATTTTACCATCTGTATTTTATAGCACCTAGCAAGGTGCAGTGGGGCTAAGCTCTTAGACTTACTGCCAGGCTCATTGGGCATGTTTGTACTGTTTTACATGACTGAAGTGAGTGACACCGTATAGGTTATGAAAATAACACCTGCTTTCTGAAAGAAGCTAATTAATGCATGGCTTAACTGAGGTGGAATAACAACAAGCCATTAGTACTGCAAGCAAGCGATGTAAGACTACAGGGTGAAGACTGTCTTTCCCAACTTTATAGCCCGCAGCATTAAATTGAATTTCCTACTACAGTACCCAGAAAGCACAAGTAAGATTAATTTGGGGTGTTCTTGTTGTGTTTACGTTGAGTGTAAGGCACGTTTAGCACTTTGTCTGGTGATGGTACAGTATTTACAGTATGGTTGTGCTTTTATGGAAAATGATGTTGTGTTTTGGAATCACACATCGTGCTTATGATACAGTACTTTGTGCATCTTTTTTGAGACAAATAGTGCAGGAGATTTATCATTTTATGCAGAACATTAAATCAGCAGTTTAGCAAGGATAAAGTGAGTGTGAGAGTTATATAGCAGAAGTCATGCACTGTCAATATGAGTAAGTAGCTCCTCTTAATGTTAGTAATTATGAGTAATTGGTTTATGATATCTAGGCAAAAAATAGAGCTTAACAGAAAAACTTCAATTTTATTGTTTTGTTGTTGTTTTTTTTTTTGTTTGTTTGTTTGTTTGCTTTCTAAGCAAAGCTTCTCTTATTAATTGTTTTAGGTTTAGTGGCTATCTGCCATAATCTGTTGGTCTCAGTGTAGGAAGCAAAATATTTGTTATGAAAGAGCAGGCTGGCTCGTTTTCAAAGCAGATTTACCAGCAGATAGTTTACAGATGGAAATGAGACTATTTGTTTCCACGATTTTCCATTTTTCGCAACAGTTCATAGCCACAGTTTAGTGCTGAGTTGGAGAATGTAAAACAGATCTTTCACTGCAGGACCGTGTATATAGAACTCTTTGGCATTTAATCATATTTACCTTGAAGCCATTTAGAGGCTCATCTATAAACAGATCAGTGGTGAAATATAGTGTATTTTACCCATATAATTTAGGACAGGTTTTGGATTCCCTAACAGAATATGTACAGTAATTGTGCCTATGATACTACAGCACACTAAATCACCACTTCTGAGTTACACAGTGAATCAACCTTAGTGCAGTAAAGCAGAGAAGTGATGCAGCAGCTCTCTGATGATGATCTCTCTATTCAGAACATTAAAATAGGAAATGATTCAGAATTAAAATGTTCTTTATAATTCATTTCTTTACTGAGGATGCCGTTGAACTGAAGACACATAAGCTCCTCATATGTCACATCCTCACGGATGACTTCAGATTCACTGATTTGTCTTACGCTCCAGTGGTTTTATTTAATCCCTTTAGCCAATATCAAAACAGCCACTGCGAAGAAACAGTAATGAACTTAACTGTTTTTTATGCAAGACAATTAGAGAGCAATTAGTTGATTGAGGCGATAAAGACAGATAATTGCAGATGAAAGTGCTTCTCTCCTCACTGTTGTGTTTGAATCCAGGGATTTTTACAGACCTGTCAGCAGCAGAGCTCACGGTATCCTGATAACAGAGCCACTCTGATCTTACCGAGGGGTGTTTAGGATCCTATTCTCTGCATGCTTTCAGGTTGTGTACATTAGCATGAATGGGGATTCTGTATGTTTTATTATTCTTCTTATTATTACTATGTACCTCACATTTCCATTTAGACTCTTCTCCACTAAGGCCATTGTAACCTGAGTGTTTTATTGTCATAGAAACTAAAACTGGAAATTACTGTATCCTGAATGATTAAAAACAGCCCATTTACTTCGTAGAACAGTATCTTTTACCAATAAATGAGTTGGACTTTTTGTAGAAATCTTGCAGCCCGTGTATCGCTGTAGGCACTGTTTCTCCATTACAAGAGTATAGAAGAATCCATGTAATATATGAGCCAATAATCTCCTGCTCTACTACTCAACATGATCAAACTGAATCACAAAGTTCACATTCATGCTGACTGAAAAAAGAGTTGATATGATACTCACTTTTCTGTCCTTGAAATGCATACTGACAAAAGCACTAACTGTACACTTTTAGGGCCCGTTGATTGCGACAGCTTTTACAAATGGATACCATTGAACAGGTGGCCGGTTGCCATCTCATCAGAGGTATTGCATTTTATTTACTGTGCATTTCTATCAGTTTCTGTCTGTCTAATATATGTGCATCACATTATTCATTGTTTATTCACCTCCCTCAGAATGATAGAGCTGGTAGTAAAGTGTGAGTGTGACGGATGGTTTATCTCTTCACAAAGCAGGCGGCATCTGTTTGCAAGGTGGGGGGTATGATGCCTTAACAAAAAAGAGTGTAGAGAAGATGACTGCTCATTGCAAGAATTTTTAATCACGGTCAGTTTGCTTGTGTGACATACTGTAGGAAAGGTCACACACGCACATATAGTGCTACCAGTTCTGCAGTTTAGCTTTGTTTTGCATTAGTCTTATGCATATTGTACTAGTGTAAATTATGTGCCAACCACAGAGTATGTCACATGCCGGTATGGTTTTCTTTGTTTGTTTGTTTTTTCTAGACTGGTCATCCAAGGATTCACCACAATGACTAAAATGAATTTAAAATCCAAAATGTTTAAATTAACTTACAGATGTATATAGCGGCATGGTTAGTGGTTAGCGCTGTCGCCTCACAGCAAGAAGGTCCCGGGTTCGAGCCCCCCGGTCGACCCCATGCCTTTCTGTGTGGAGCTTGCATGTTCTCCCAGTGCCTGCGTGGGCTCTCTCTGAGTGCTCCAGCTTCCTCCCACAGAACAAAGACATGCAGCTTAGGTTGACTGGAGACTCTAAATTGTCTGTAGGAGTGAGTGTGTGTGGTTGTCTCTCTCTACATGTCAGCCCTTTGATAGACTGGCGACCTGTCCAGGGTGGACCCTGCCTCTCGCCTAGTGTCAACTGGGATTTGCAGTATAGATTATGGATGGATGGATGTAATGTATATCTCTATGATGGATAATGAGTGTGATTCCCCTAAACATGGCGCATTTACCCCAAATTCAACGTGGCATGACGACAACTTCACATTCTTCATTTGGAAGACATATCGATGACTCTAGAATGTCAGTCTTACACAGAACAGTATTTATAGGCTGGATTAAGCAAATGAAATCAGTGTTTTCTAATGCTGTTGCCTTTTGTTCCTCTTTCCCCTTTATCCCCCAGCAGAGTATATCTGGTGGCCCAGGAAAGACAGGACGAAGTTTCTAATTGGCTTTGTGTGCAGGTGATGCTAATCCACTGTCAAGCACTACAGCGTCACCCAGGCAAAAAGAATGAAAGTTGGAAACTTAGGATGAAGAAAAGAAAATGTTAGTCATCTCAGAAAAATAACAACTGCTGTACTATAATCCAAACCTCCTATAACTTTACAACCTGGTTTGGTCTGATGTTTCACGTCGATCTCATTCACCTGTTTCCTTCCTCTGTTTTGATTCCTTTTTAGACATTAGTCATTTTAGTTTAACCTTAATTTGGTGTCATTTTATTTTATCTTCTAGTATATCTGTATAAATGGATTTTGTTTGAAGTAAGAGGAGTCGTAGCTGAGAGTATCCGCAAGTCATGTCTTCATCTTTGTATCGGATAGCATAAAGGACAAGCGATGGGATGTTCTGTTCAGTCTTTCCGCAAAAAAAAAAAAGAAGTTCAAAGAAAGACGGCGAAAAAAAATTACATTTAAGGAAAATTTTAAGAAGGTATCTAAGTAATAAATCTTAGTAGCTGTTTTATTTCTTGTGATGTCTCATTGTTAACCATAATTACCTATTTTTGGGCAATACAAAGAGGACTTCAATATTTTTATGGTCCTTTTTTATAAGTGTTGTTTTTGTTGTTTAGAAATATATATATATGCTATAACAAATTTCATATAACTACATTGTGAATTCAAACTTGAGAAAAAGAAATGTAGCTGTACATATTATTCCAGTCACTGCATATAACCAACTCAGTGAGAGAATAGCATATTTTTGTGATGGTGTGTCAAAAGAACATGTTATAGCGTGTGAATAGAAGAAAAAGCTGTAAACAGTTATTACTCTACTTTTTCTGCTGGAAGACAGTGTAAAGACCCCCACAGACAAACAGAACACACTTGCTCTGTAAATAATGAAGCTGAATAATTTTACAAGTGTCATACCAGCAAATTTACAAATAATGGGTTAAGTCAACACAGTTTTAAGAAATAAGAAAAACTGTTGAGATATCAGTATCATTTCAAAGAAAGAGAGAAAAAAGATGATTTAATCCAAAGCACACTGTACTTAGACATGAAGATTAGAACTTGAACCAGGCATTTTCCAGTGCTCTGTGCATCCTGACACTTTTATACTCTTGAGAGGAACGTATTAGATGTATGTTATTGTTTGTTTCATCCTGCTTGTTCCTGATTCGTTTTTGGAACACGATATCTGGGCTCTGTGCTAGAGCCTTTATGTAATGCTTGTTCTCTGAATCAGTCTCTTTTTGAATGAATTAGGAAAGTAAACATTTTGATACCATACCTCAGCCTTTGTGAGTTCTATTGCGGAATCATTGGCAGGTTTAATTTATTCTAGTGGCAAAAAAAGAAAACACTGAAAGGTTAACAAGGTGAGTAATCATTGCACTGTGAGTAGTAAAGTACAGGCCATTTATCTATTTGCACATGTGTACGTTGGCTTTTTTTTTTAATGGCCCTGTGCTTTGAGATAGTATGAAGGATTTGGGGGTTAATGTATTCTCAACTAGACAAATACTTCAGAGTTTTGAGGTGAGGTAACAGCTTGGGAAGCAGTAACTGAAACATTGCAGTGCACACTTAGATTTCTTTATCTATATCTTCATGTATTGATATTTATACAGGGTCAGAAGATGACACTGAATTATTCACTATCTGTCGCTGCACCAGGTTTTACACAGTATGTGCTGTTAGTGATGTTACTCATGACAGACATTTAATAATAATATACTCCAGAGTGTGGTCTGGTTTTTGTTGTCATTGATGGAATGAATGGTGTGTTATCTGGAAAACTTTACCTGCTGCAGATGTATTTTGTTGTTTTCATTTTACCCACGTCTTGTCTTGTTTTTTTGTTTTTCAAAACAACCAGGTAAAGAAATATGCTGGATACTTATAAAGTAAACGATATGGAGGTGTAATCAAGTAATAATTTAAAGAGTAAAGAGAAAAAAAAAACCTTGTAATGTTCAAATGTAAAAAAAAAAAAGAAAAAGAAATACAAAACTTTAAAAAAGAAAGATGCTTCTTTGATGATTTCAAGTTTAATCAGAGTTTTATTGATATTTTGTGGTTTATATATTAATAATTGTAATATACTATTAAAATGTACTGTGCATCCATTGCTTTCTCTCTTTCCATTCCCCATCCTCAGAGATCCTACTATCTTTTGTTGATCATCCATGTATTTCATTAGTGTGTGAAGAAATCACAGTTACCTTGTAAACAGAGTGCTGTCTTTGATACCAGTGTAGTGCTCTTTGTTGTTCTCCCTGCTCTACCTCTCCTTTCTCTCATATTTATCCCCCTCGCGCTCTTTTTCTATCTCCTGTAATTACAAAGTAGATGTTATATAGGACTCATTAATATAATACTTGTAGTGAATAGTGGATTTAGGACCAGTCAAGGTAGACCTTTCTCTAAATGATCATGTTATTCTGATATTTGCAGACAGTTATTTTCGTAGAGGCTCACTGTAATCTGTTCATGTCTGTTTTATTTTGTTGTTTTGCCACGCTCACATGGTTCCAGCTAACCAAAGTTCTCATGGATGAACAATAGAGAAACAGTTGCTGTAAGATGGAATTGTACACAAGGCATTATTTGGATCCCCACCCTTGAATGTTTCAAAAGGGGTGTGCCATACTACCTTAAAAGCTAATGCTAGATATGCAAAACATTTATTTTTGATTATTTTTAAGGGGGACACAAGCTATAATCATGGAAAGAGATTTGATGTAAAAAAATCATATTTTTTTAAGAAACATACCAATGATGACCATAATAGTTGTGATATCGCTCATAGTGATGTTTTGTTTGTTGAAATTGTCCCAGATGCCTCTGGCATAGTCATTTTTAGATAATACTGTTTATGATCTCTTATTTCTCTCAAAACAATTCCAGTCATTTTCATTAAAAATGATAGGACCTAGTTATTATTGTAGTTTGTCAATGATGTTCACACATATTGGCATTATAGAGGCATTACTGGAAAATTAAAAAACAACTATTGCAAAAGGCTTTCTAAACAGAAAACCTCCACTTTAAAGGTGTTAAAAGAGGGTTTGTGTATCAAAGCTGATTAAGATATAGATGATTTCATGTCCTGACATTCTGACCAGCACCATAAAGCTGTGATCTATCGCTGAGCTAAATCAGAGCAGAAATTATTATATCAAAGTTGTATGTCAAATGCTTAAAGTTTCCTCAAAATACCATGTCAAAAATTTTTAACAATTCAGACTTGATAGATTTACACAAGCATAAACAAACCTATTATGAAGCTAATTCATTTAAGATCTCAAGCTGTGCACACTCCAACCGCAGATTGAGTTATTTTTTGAGTATGATTTCAATTAAACATCATTTATGTTTGATATCAGTTATTTAATTTATTTCACCTCATGAGGTCTCAAAATTAAATATTGTTACATGAATAAATAAAATTAGTGTCTATTCATTCTTGTCATCCAGTCAGATTACATAGAGTATGAACAGTAATGGCAGCTTGGCAAATTATTCTAAAATGAATCCAACAGGCATGCAGGCCACTGTGTAACTTCAAACAGGCAAAAACATGTAATTGGTTGCATTGGACAGGACAGGAAAACTATAGTATGTGCCTAAAATATAGAGAAACAAAGCAAAGCTGAAAATAATTTACTTATAAATAGCATGTTCCAAGTATTATTGCTTATCGCCTCATTTGCACATTTTAGTGTCAAAAATATAAAATAGATTATTGGAAAACGGTAACAGGAATCAATCATTTAAGTGTATATGTGCTAGTTTAGTTTTATTCTGACAAATAAAAAAAATATTCCTCCTGTTCATTTGCAGAATTTCTCTCTTCAATTTGTTTATTTTTTTATTATTATTATTAAAAAAATAAACTACAACTAAAGCCAAACCAATACAAGAAGCTGACTGGGAGCTGATTTCAATTTTATCACTGCTTCATCTGAGAAATAACAAGGCAGCAAATATGTATGGGTTATGGGGTTTTTGTTGTTGCAGCGCCTGGTGGCTCTTTGATTATAATTAACCCTTTCTGACTGGAAAACCAGAAAAAAAACTTGAAATGGCTCATTTTCCCTTACACAGTATAAAAATTGGCTCTGTTGTTTTGTAATCCTGTAGCTTGGACTTTAAGGTAGCATGGCTCTGTTGCTGTAATTTCATTTTATCTCAACCTGACAGCGGTTTACAGCTGATGAATGTTACACATCTTAGTAGACTAGCCTATCCATTTGGGGAGAGGGGAGGGGTCTTGGTTTAAGAAAAAAAATAATAATCAAAAAAGAAAAAAGTCAACCTGGAAGGTGTTGACATTTGTAGTGTACTATCGTATCCATTTAAACTTGAATCTTGAGGCAAGTGCTAGGCAATGGCCAAACATTTGATCCCATTCGTTGTGGGAAACACCCACCCTGAAACCACACACACTTCAGAGATTTCTGTCGTCTTGGATTTGAACCTGTTTTATCAATATGAACAGCTGTCTCCCAACAGACAAGGACTGTTTCAGCCTCTGCTCCATTTTTAATGAATTAGACTGACTTTGAAGGCCTATTGAGTGTTCTTGAGCATTTTATACCCAAAAGAGGCTTATTCATAGTGGTGCTAATGGTTTTAAACCAGACAATGTGCCCTTATCTCTGAGAGATACTGGATACTGTCACAGTAACCACAAAGTGACTCTCGCTACTGTTTATAGTGGGGGCTCTTACTGGATGTTCCAGGACATAACAACAGTTCAGCTCATGTTCACAAATCTTGACTGAACTCTTCAAGGTGACAGAAATAGCACAAGTTCAACTGTATTGTTGTGTTTTCGGGTGAATTTCCCCTTCAGTCCAAACCATTGCCATCTCACCCATTGCTCATTG